GAGGGCGGAGGGCGCGGGGGAGGGGGGAGTAGGGGGGTGGGTCTGTCTTTTGTGCCTCTCGCCGCCTCTGGCGGGTGGTGTCTGTCTTGCCGTTCCCGATGACTATCACGCGCAATTCTGTCTAGCTGAGCCCCCTTTTGAGAAACTTGATTGTAAAAGTAAACACAGTAGTAACAGAAACATATAAAGGAGAAACTTGAACAATTTTATATGCTACTGGAGGAGACGGTAAGTTGGAGCAGTAATAATGTGGGCGGGAAGAGGACGTCACTTCCGCAATTCTTCCCTCTTTCTCATGACAAAACCTCATCTATACCAGTTAGAGTCCAATTAGGAGAAAGATACCACACAGGATTTTAATAGGGAAAGTAATTTGAAAAGGAAAGTTTAATATAAAATCAGTAACTATACTGGGAGTAAAGAGGACTATTAAGGGGTAAAGCGAAGTCTGAAGAATAGAGGACTCTCATGTGTACGCCCAGTGTTACTGAGTCCAAACTTGTTCTGCTCACCACAGGACAGGCCAGTAAATTGGGAGACGAGGTGTTGGGGCAAGGAACAGCGACTTCATTTGGAAAGCCTGCAGACCAAGAAGGTGGCCAACTAATGTCCTGGAGAACCATCTTCCCCAAGTCAGATTTCAGGCTCCTTTCAAACTAAAAAGGGGAAGGGGTGTGGTTGGTTGTTGCAAACATCTTGCTGTAGGAATTCTTTGTTCTTGCAGCCGTCCACGTGGGTCGGTCATGGTGACCCTGTAAAACCTCCAACAAAACAAATGTTATTTTCTATGTTGCAATTTGTTGTCTTTATATAAGTGCAAAAGTGTTAATAGCCTTAAAGGTCAGAGCCTTGAGAATAGGCTCTTCTGTGATATTTCAGGCTGTATGCAACATTATTTTACAAAAGGTGCAGAGCTAGCAAGACTTAAGCCTAGAAAACAGGGCACAGGGTTAAAGCCAAAGGAACAGATCTAACATGGAGCAAGATTTGTTATTTTCTATTACACCAGGGCTGGGGTGGAAAACTCACAGATGTAATGAACATGGGAGAGCACGCCCTCCGGCCAGAACTGAGATCAAGACCTTGGAGAGGGTGCAGCCATGACTCCCTGAGCAGTGACGTCATCGAAGTGTGTGCTGGCAAGACTCACTGGCAGTTCACCTTCTGGGATGCTTTGGGACGATGCCTATGAAGAGATGCTTCACACTGCTGGCCAATGTGCACTGCACAAGCTTGTTAAGAAAAAGCATGCTGGAACCAGGAAATGCCCCCTTTATCCTCCAGTGCCCTCTATTGATAAAGCATAACGTCATAATCATCTGGCCAAGGAGAAGTATTCTGGTACCACCAGCAAGCAATGAAGGTGGATCTGTAGCTGAGAGGCAATAGGTTGATAATGGCACACCCATCCGGGTTAAATTGAATCTTATGCCTATTCCACACTGACATCCATGCAGCTCTATGTGGACAGAGAAAACAAAAACAAAGTCAACAACAAAAGCCAAAGTGACTAGTCTTTCCAGGCTTGTCATCAGTCTCGTGGGGAAATCAGGGCAGCCGGCAATCCCACCGCGTTCTACTCACTTGCGTATTCACCCAGAGGATTGACACCTTCTGCTTCCTCCTCAAATGTACACCTTCTCCTCAACCCACTGGCTCTCTCTGCTGATGACTTTCTATTTCACAGAGAAAATAGAAGCCCTGAGAGTAAGAGCTTCTGCCAACACTCCTCACCGCACCTACACACCTAGCATCACCTGCACCCACAGACTCTGCCTTCCCACCAGTGATAGCACTCAAATGTCCGTGCTCCCCTACAAGGCCATCCCTCCACCTCTCTCCATCAGATTCCCAACGCTTCTTGCCTTCAGTTCCTGTCAGGATATGGCCTTATTTAGGTGGGAAAAAGTAATGAGCTTTATATATTTTTAGAGGAGGTACTGGGGATTGAACTCAGGATGTTGTGCATGCTAAGCGTGTGCTCTACCACTTGAGCTACAGCCTACCCCACTACACAGCTTTTCAAAAAATATTTGCTCTTGACCCCACACTTCCGTTCAACTTCTGCCTCATTTCTTTGCTCTTCTTTATAACAAAAGTCTTTGCCAAACTTATGTATATTCAATGTCTCCATTTGTTTTTTCTTTTCACTCCCTCTTGCGTTTACTCCAATGAGATATTTATCACTGCCAGTCAGCATTTTCAAGATCACCAATGACCAGAGCCACCCCTGGTGTGCAGGGACTGGAAAGATACTTTTTTCAGGGCTGTTTTTCATCTAAATTATTTGATTCTAAAATATATGGGCCTGTGTAAGGTGTTGAGATTTATCAATGAAGATTTAGGATCATCAGTATCAAAGAGATATTTACATGTTAGTTCATTGCATCATCGCTGCACTTGAAGATTCTTTATGGAGTCTGAGCACCAACTGTTCCTGGTTCAGGCGCAGGAAACATCTTTCCATGATCTTTTGGCTAACGTTGTATCTCTCACCGTTAGAAAATGGTAGCAACGCACCAGCCGTAACAATTGCTCACAATGACATAGATCTTTGAAACCTGTTTATATTGAAACAGTATGGTTTGGGGTTTGGGTTTTTTGTTTGTTTTGCGTGCGTGCGTGCCTCTTCATTTCTCTAATAGCATGTATGTAATGCTGGCTACGTCATTATTCACATGCTGCATCATTAATCATGGCACCTGTGCATACTGGCTTCCAATCACTCTCCTAAAGCGTGTCTCTGTGCTTCGTTGATGACCAAAGATGCAAAGCTTACCGAGCCTTATATACAGGAAAATATGAATGGTAATCCATTTTCTGATTATGGTAAATTTTCTGTTTGGAATTTTATAGTGTTAACATAGAACAACACATCTTCAAACCACATATTCTCTTAAATTCTTTAGGCTGTAATTGTTGCATTTTTAGAATGTGATCACTTTTAATGTTGCCTGTAGTCCTGCTTCTAAACACCACCATCAGTAGGGAGAAGAAGCAAGGAGATATGAATGGAGAAAGAAAAACAGTCCCAGTAACATGAGGAATGACCATCCCTTATTAGGCATAGCTTAAGATTGACCTACGAAAACACTATCACCATATCACCTGGAGCAAGAGTGGACATTGGTTGGAAGAGCCTGTTGGCATTGCAAAGCAACAGTCTTAAAAGCCCTCAGAGGAGACATGCACAGCCACCCCTGGAGAACTTTCTGATGTGTGGTGTGAAGGAGGGTGTGAGGTGACAACCCCCAGTGGCAAGGGGATATGCGAGGTAAGAGATGCTGGTCACCATCCCACACCTTTGAGTGCTGTAAATCAGAGATGGCACTGTGCTTGGAACACAGATGGGTGAGAGCGAGATATGGGTCCACACATGCAGCTCAAGACAAGTGTCAGCAGTACATCATTAGTAGCTCAGTGTCCTCTGTCCGATGTGAGACTCACCCTAAATTGGTGTGTCAGTGCCATCCTAGTGACCCAGTGTCACACAATCCCACATCAGCCAGCAGGAACAGCCCAGTTGCCAGGCTGCCCTCCAAGAGCCTTCCAATGACCCCATTGGCACAAATCTTGGCATTCCTCAAGGCAACGGGTCAACCCTATACGCAGAGTGGAGGAGGTTCAGAGAGTGCCCCAAAAGAGGAGAAAATGAGGATTGGGGTTTACACATGTCCCTGTCTAAAGATGGGGACTGCCATTTGTCCCCAGCACTGGGGTCTACCGTGATGAAACGAGCCCTACTAGAAGAGGGGGTTGGATAACCCCACCTATGTTTTTCCACGTACATTGTTGCCATGCTTCTCTCCAGGGACCCTCTTTTTTGTTCTAGACTTGACCTTATCCACGAGCACTTTAAGGCCCAGATAGAAAATTCCTTATTGCCAAGAATTAATTTTTATAGTATTTGGAGAGACCCCATGATTCATTGGGAAGTTTGTTTTTCCAAAGATGCAATAGAGTCCCAGAATTTCCCAGCTTGAAAGGATTTGAGGTATTCATAAAATCATAGACATTCAGATCTGGAGGAGTTCTAGGGTCATTCAGACCAATTCTTTATTTCTGCATTTCCTCTTTCTAAGCCTCCTATATTGGTTTCTGTAACATCCAATGCCCTAGTTTCCCTCCTGTCTTTCTGGCCACTCTTTCTCTGTCTCCTTTGCAGGATCTACTTTTTCCAGGGCTAAATCTTCATACTCTTTTGCTTACTCTAGATCCCTGGGTGAGCTCATCCCGGCCCATGGCTTTAAATATCATTTATAGGCTAATGATTCCCAAATGTATATTCCCAGCCCCACACTCCCCTCTGAGTGTCAAGCTCATATATCCAACAGTCTGTTTCTTACCACTAGTGTCTCTCACAGACACCTCAAACTTGACGTACTTAAAAATGGACTCTAGATGTTACCTTTGACATGTATCAATGAGTCCGTCTTCTAGTCTTCTGACCAAAGGAAATGGCTCCAATGTCCATACAGATGCCAGAGCCTTCTTACCAACCTTCTTTTCCCTCCATCTCACATCCATTAATACATTCTTTCCAGTCTTCCCACCTTTTCTCAAATGCCTCTACTTCTCTTCATCTCAAATGCCAACATTTGTATCCAAGCCATCATCGTGTCGCCTCTGGACCATGCTTGTAGTGCCCTAACCTGTTCTCCCTATTTCCAGTGTCACCTCAATCTATTCTTTGTGTAGCAACTGGAGGATTCTTTCAAGGTGTGAATTTAAATCTTAAATCGTCCACGGGCTCCCACTGCAATCAGAATAAAGTCCAAACTTATATAACTGCTTCAGATGGCTC